AAAGAAAGAAAGTTCAAAAAAAAAAAAAAAAAACTGCGAAAGTTCGATATATTCCAAGTAGGTCACGTATGCATCCTCAGGAAGGAAATATATATAATAATCAATAGTTTGATGTGAAATAAAAAAATCGTCTCGAAAAATGCTTTTTTATATTTCTCTTTAAGCTTCCTTAATCCTAGTTTCTCATATTTTTGAAATTGCCGTGGGCTTCTTATATTGGGGAGTTGCTATCCCACATATAACACATTCCATTATAAGTAAGAAAAATCAAATATTTTTAACATTTTTTTTCATCGTCAGAAATGTCAGATATCAAGAAATTCGCTTATGCATAGGAAAATTTTAAAAAGACGATAATTTGTAAAAAATATTCGTTGTAAAAAAGAAATTACATTAGAAAGTACAAGACTTGAGAATTTTACTTGGAATATAATAAATGCCAATGTGAAAACTTAGAGTTAAATATGAATAAACAGACATTATTGCAATTTTTGCAATGATGATGACGAAGTCAAGAAACTCCAAATTCGAAACTTGAAATACATAGTAAATCGAAATCATATAAAAGGGCTAAGGGCTGAAGGTCCGCTGCATTATTCGAGATACTCACCACGGGTCGCACGGCTCGCCAACGCAGTTCGTACGTTTCAACATGAGAGTCACGCACGTGATTACAAAACCGTCGGTACACGTAACCGTCGCGTACGAATAAAGAATTGCGGTGATCTCATCGGCACGAGAGCGAATCCGCTAAAAATGCAAGCTACGTCGTTCACATCTTGGTTTAGCACTTTGCACTTTTCGTACTTCATCGGGAAAACTGGGACTCGCGATCGCGCTATTGCGATTGGCACAATTGGCACAATAATCGACGTGTATTATCGAACCGTCATTTTTCTTCTCTCTCTCTCTCTCTCTCTCTCTCTTTCTCTCAAGACGCTTTTAATCGTGTCGTAATCTTATCACGTAATATCGACACAACGCGATAACCGAATGAAGTCGCCAAGTGTACGAGGACGCGAATTTCGAATTACTGTCGAATTAATACCGAGCACTTTCACGATAGCTAATTTCATTTCAGCTAATTAAAATATTAAATAAGAAATATATATCTTTGATCTTCAATATCCAATTGTCTTTGTAAAAAAAAAGCATTCTCAGCGATCAAGAGATATCGTCTCTTAAAATTTTGTTCTCTCTCTCTGTTGATTTCATTTTGTAAATCCAGTACTGAAACGTGTTACTGTGTTATTTTCCCTTATGTTGAATATGAGATTCATGAATTTATGCATCTTTCATACGCTCATACGGACACAACGGAAGAACATCGCGAATCTCTTTGGAATTTCCCCTAGTGTGCGAAGAAGAAGCGAACGAGCGGAACGAGCCGGTCAAAGTCATCCTCACACATATGCGATTACATTCCTGGAAGACGACGTGTTCGCATCTCGGGAGTTACCACCTTCGTATCTTACCGCCCACGCGTGTCTCTCCTAATGGCCGACTACTTATCGCATGGTGCAATCATTATCACGTTTGATCCGGTTAAACGATGATGCTCACACGCCAGGAATATCTTCTAATAGGAATATCTCCGTCGCTGTGTTCGTGATCGGAAATGAGAAATGCTTGGGTGAGACGACTGTGAGAAAACAAATGCAATTGCCGAGGATGTATACGGAAGTCTGCGGGAAGGTACAATTCATCGCGGATCGCAAATTGAAAAAAGCGATCGAACAATTTCAATAAACGTGAGAAAAATTGGACGTAACGAGAATTATAATCGAATCCAAAAGAGATTCGACAAATATGCGTCGAAATGTAAAGTAAACTTAAATCAGGTATAATTTTATTTTCGTGATAGGATCAGAAAAATTGAGAGAAAATGCAATCGAGAAAATGCAAATATGTGGAATTATATTTTGTGAAATATTAACAAATAGTGCTCTCCTGTCAATAAATTTAATAATTAACGAGAAGAAAGGATAAAATATATATAACGTTCCTTTCGCGCAGAAATTTTTGATCGAATTGGCTGAGCCTTGCGTCGAGCGTCACGGATCCCTGATTCGGTATCCTGTTACATTTAACGATGAACATCTGTCTGTCCAGGGCGAAAACATGGCCCAGGGGGGAATTTTATGCGGCGGCGGCAAGATTTCGCGTCACGTTTCGATTTGACGTGCGATTCGATATTTACAGATGTCGATTTCCGCGCGATCTGACATTATTCCCCCGATGCGTGCACATGTAGAAATGTTATTTCGGTACTGGGTGCGCCAGTTGACGTCATGCCATGCACCCATGCCGTGCGTGGGTGATTTTCGAGGATGTGATTTATCCCGATAATCGGCTTTCGCGATCGAAACTTTGAGACGCGCTAATTTATTAGTTATTGCGAAAGTTACGACTGCTCGTAGAAAGCATGTCAATACACCGCATCATTATGCTGAATATATGACAGATTTATCTTCCTCCCGTTTCCTCGCCAATAAAAATTACAATTTATCTTCCAAAATTAGATACCACGATTAGCTTTACGATTAATTTTTGCGAATTTAATAATCATATTATATTACTTAGGAATGAAATGTGAATGTCTCTGATATATTAAAATATAAATTCGATATTAATGTATCATATAAAAAATTTAAAAATAGAATTTCGATATAATAACCTTCTGTTGCGAGATTACGACTTACTCAGTATCAGGCACAGGTATCATAGGAGGAGGTAGACGGCCGTTGTGGTCCAGAAAGTGATTGATCTCAGGTTCCTCTTGCACTGGGGTCTCGTAAACGAGGGTTTCCACCATCGAGCCTTTGCTCGAGCCGAAGGATACCCTGGAGACAATAACCATTTTAGATGAAGAAATAAATAAAAAAAGAGAACAAGCATACCAATAACTTTGTAATTAAATCATTAAAGAATTACATAGACGAATGAACAAACGAGAATAATCTTCTCCAACGTTATCTAGAGAAGACGTCGTTATAGCTAAACAATATATTTACACACTCTCGGACACTCTGTAATTGGTATATGATCGAAACAGGTCAGACGTCTGGCAATGCTCGAAAAATATATATATTGCAAACCACAATTTTCCATTGCACGACCGCAATGGACGACCGCAAAAACAATATCAAAATCAAAATCTCACGATCGCCACGGCGTCGGATTACGATCGTGCGTGATCGAGATCGATGTGCGTATAAATAAGTATGCCGGACGCAGTTATTTATTACTCGCCGGGAAGCAGCTCAGCCAAAAAAAAAATCAAAAAAAATTCCCAACGGATTCATCCGGTAGACATTAGAGAGAGAGTCGAATTTTGCACATTTATATAAGAACAAGTTTTAAATAACTTTATATAAAAATTAAAAGAAGAATTAATGGTCGCTTCAAAAAAAAAAAAAAAAAAAATCAATGATATCGCGAAATATGAATGCATCGTGTGGCGAGTACATCGAATCGTGTCGATAATTTCATGCGAGAGGATATCAAACAGCGAGAATTCACATTAAGAAGACAGAAAACGGCATTAGAGGATCACCGGCACAGCGCAAACCGGTTTTTCGCATCCAACTCGTTCGCAACGTAAATGTGGATGTGTGCCGAACCAGACCAGGCAAGGACGAACGATCACGAACGAAGATTTACGACAAACATCAACGAGCAAACGACAAACTTTTCTTTAACTTTAAGAAGATATCGGAAAGAGCTGGGACGGACTCGTCGATATACATTTAGACTTGCAGCGCCGTTTCTCGTATTCACTAAAGCAAATTTGTTCGTTCGTTCATGGTCGTTCGCGCTCTTCGCTTGGAGCTCCAATCTTAATGCGTTCGTGCGCGCGCGCTTATTATTCATCGCTGCTACAGAGTTTAATCTCGCAACCGGATAAATCTTCCGACTCGGTTCGCCGCGCACGCCAAGAAATCAATTAAGTTACCACGTAGCGAGGGGGATCGATAAGTCGACCAATCGATTTATCGGGAGATTGCTTTCTTTTTCTGCCGATTGGACTGGTGATATCGCGGCGCAATATTAAGTCCGCTCTCTTCGATTATATTCTCTGGGCATTCGTTCGCTTTCTTTCCCCCTTTTCTCTGTCTTTCAAACGTAATTATGTATAGATATCGCTTTATATGCGAAAATGCGAAAAAATATTAATATAAAGTATTAATTTAATATCAATCATATATCAATATTAGATTAGAGCTTGATGAATTTGTTACGGTTGCGCGATATCGCATGTTGGTTCAAGTCTGCGCTAAAGTCTGGGTTGTAGTAAAGTGCTGCCACACGTGGCCGTGTTCGCCAACCAGAATATGTCAAAGTCATATGGTGTTCAGACGACAGAGTCTACAGTAGGTCCGCACGTTTGTCTACATTTAGAATTAATCGATACATACGATAAACAAGTATCCAAAAAACAAGATGTAATATTAGATCATTTGAATAATACATGAAGCAAATGAGAAAACATATAGAATTCGTTTCACTTTAATTCATAAAAGCTTTTAGCATAAAATATTTCGTCGATTAAAGACATGAAAATCATATGTGACTTTTAAAGAAACTTTTTGATCTAATCTCGAGAAGACATTATGTACGTAGGGATATTCCAGCGATTATTAACGTACGATAACAATTTCCCAAAAATAACGTTCCCTCTTTTATTTTTGTGCGCTTAAATTATTTGATTAAAGAAAAAAAATGAAAGGATAGAAATAATTATCCGATTGAATATAAATTTCATTTACGACTAAAATTATTTGAACAAATACTACATAATTTAGATATTATTACGAATGTTATTGTAATCTTTGGGACACTGAAAATGAAGATCCAGCACAACACCTGGTCTAAATTGAGAGTTGAGGTGGGTCGGGGTCGAGGTCGCCCAGCTGGCAACCTCCCATCGATCTGGTCCCGATTTGACCTCTGAATTCGCTCTGATCCAAGACCATAAAAACGGAAGTATCGTCTCCCCTATTCGTAAAAATAACATCTTCTATCTACCACTTTATTTCCTCAAACGCTGCAAGAACAATCAACTTCTAAAGCAAATCTTTTTCTTCATAATATGCTTCTGTAATAATCGGGTTAGCAATTTAACACGTACCTCAACATCTTGATATAATATTATATTTAAGAGTATATAAATAATCGAAATAAATAATAACATTATTTGCGATTAAATTGACGATTGAATTTGAAAAAAAAAGCTTGATGTTGAACGCAACGTTAACAAGCATTTTGCATTTATCTCTCAAAAAGATGATAGCACGATTTGTAATAAATTTAGAAAATTGCAAAGAAACGGAGCCGTAATGGTAATAAAACACACATTTTGTGTATTGAAAGAAGTTTCTGTTTAGAATGTTTATTTTTGCTCGATCGCAAAAGAATTGCTGCGTCGGACTGTGATAATTTTACTCTCACGGCTTGTAAAGTATCGAACGCAGCGAGCCGCGGCGGCAGTCGATTAGCAAGGGTATACAGTCTAAGCTCTGTTGGAATCGATTATGGAATCCCACGGTCCTTGTTTGCTATAGAAAACATTTCCATTTCAATCTCTTTGACACAAGTGCGTTTTATTAACAGTTACTACTTAATCTTTTCGCGGATTATAGTACAAGATTCCAATATTATCAACATATTTAATTTCTATATACAGCTGTCGTTGAAATGCGAGATAAATTAATAAATTGATAAATTATATTCCTTAGCAAATCTCTCTAGAACTTTTTTAACGAAAAACAATAATTTTTATCTCTTATGACTTTTTACTTTTTAATATTAATTTTTTCAATAATTACGCTCCAAATTAAAATAATATCATCGAATATCATCACAGGTAAAGTTAAGAAATAAAAAATATAATAAATATATATATATATATAAGAAGATAATAAAAGATGTTAAAACGAAAAAAATAAGTATTGTAAATTTCTCATACAAATGTTAAAAAATATTAAAAATATACTCTTTTTAAGAATTAAAAGAGAAAAATCTAAATGCAAAAAACGCATTTACCTGCTGATACGTACTTGCAAAAATAGACGCTAAATACGCAACAGTATTTTCTAAGTACGCAACAGCGTTTTGGCAACGGATCAGGTCATATAGTTTCTTTCTAGAGTGATTCAAACCTCACGTTGCCAGCATTATTACGAAGTCAACCTAAATAAACGCTTTGCTTCGAAAACGTATAAAAAAATATTTAACCATTGTCGGCATTATAATGTCTGCATTTTAATATATTCGTTATCACGCAATTCGTTATCAAGAAATTTATGAAAAATTGTTGATTAAAACAAGTTCACTATCACAAAATTCTCAAAACGTAACTTCCTAATTTTTTCACTTATCTGTACACAAAAGTAAAAAAAAACGGCGATGCCATGAAATTATTAGAAACAGAATAATCGTAAGTGCGTCCATGTAATTATCGAATTTACGATATTTTTAAATACGTTAAATGAAGTCGCGCGGTAGAATAGTAATTAGCATCATGGCGACGTCTTGAAATTCTCACTCTTATTGACATAACTGCAAGAATTGTGTTTTTGTAAGGCTGTTGTTTTTATTGGAATGATCATTTAACTTCTCAAAATGTCACAAATTTCATCAAATCCGAATATTATATTCGTACAACAGATTAGATAATATCATAATGTATGACGTTCGCGAACTATTAAAAAGCATAAAAAGTGCAAATACGAAAGTATTCTCTTCCTATTTTTACCTATTTTACGGCAGTTTCACACAAAGTCGTCTTTTGCTATTTCGTGTGTCTCTTGTCAGGATTATTAAGTGCACTCGGGAGACGGTACGTCTCGAGGCTCGGAGCTCGATGCATTGCAACGCCCCGTCTCGAACGCCTCGGCGTGGCTGACCCTGACCTATCCCACGTGCAAATGCCGTAAAAGTCTCGTGCGAGCTGCGAAAGTCAGCCTGTAGACCCGATATATAGTGACGTTCTCTCTTCTTCCTTTCGCGAAAGAGAGGCGTTTTACCATGTAAAACCTGACGAACTCGTGCACGCTTATACGGCTCGGGGGGCAGATAATTGCGGGCAGCTTTCGAGAACCTGCTCCGAAAGAAAGAGAAAAAGGGGAAGAGGGGGAGAGAGAGAGAGAGAGAGAGAGAGAGAGAGAGAGAGAGAGAGCGCACGCTCTCTTAAACTCGGCATTTTCTCCGAGGTAAACGACAATGCTTCAATTTCGAAGACTTGTAATTTCATCTTGTTACGTGATCGAGTATTTTAATAATTTTGAATATCCCCAAATATCGTAATATCTTGGATACAAGTTTCATCGAATTCATCTCGAGTTTAAAATATTTTGAAAATCGAGTCTAACGTTATTTTTACAAAGTATGCGAGATATATTCGATAAATTGTTATCTATGGCGTTCCAATCAGTTTTGAAATACATCGCTTCTTCGACAACATCTCCACCTACCTCTTCAGGCTAGCGTGCTTCGCGCCGTTCAGAATCTTGTTCTTGCGCTCGCTGCCGGCGGTGCTGGCCACACTGTCGATGCTGTAGAGGCTGTCGTCCTTGGTGACCCTATTGGCATTGTGCAGGGTCGATTTTCTCGTGGTGCTCGTGCCGTTGTGTTTCGGACTTTCGATCGGCCGAGGAGAACCGTGCCGGGCGACAGGATCGCCGCCGGCCGGATGATCCTCGATCCTGGTGGAGACGATCATCGTTCTAGTCGCGTCCACGCATTTCCTGGGTGACGTGCTCACCACGGCATTGCTCTTCTGCAGCTTGCCGGTCGTGCGATAATTGTTCTGTTGGCCGCTGTGCTCGCCGGGTGGTGGCTTGTCCTCCGTCGGCAACATATACGACAACATCGTCCCTTTTTCCTTTACCTGGGCACAGGAGAAACAAACACATAGGCGGGAATTCAGTACGATCGCCGTGGAAGATCGCCGGGAGTCATTAACCGCGATAGGCGCGACGGTGAGAAAAATACGAAGCGACACAAAAGAGATCAATCGAGGGTCATCGGAAGCGGATAGAAAAAGTATTACCGTTCACGGTAATAAGAGCATGACGGTAGGCCGGTTGATTAATGCTCCGTAGAGAGACGTAGTTAGAAGTTAGCAACGTACCGTTCGAAACAATTAGGAAAGATTCGGATGACGCTATAGATTCGATAAAATTAGAAAAGAAGTATCGCGAAATATCGCATGTTTAAATATATTTAAATTATCATGGAAAGATGCTAAGAGAAATTTTTAAACGTTTATTTCTAAACGTTATCAATTATTGAAGAAATACGTGAGATACATTAACAAACATTTTTCAAAATCAAACTATATAGAATTTTTTAACAGAGTAAACTTTGTTACAAATTGACAAAATCGAGATGCTATGTAAGATTAAGAGTGCATAAAGGGAGAACACGGGACAATTGTTCCCGAGGTATTAAATCGACTAGCGGTTCGAACGGTTCGATCTATCTAGCGACGGCGATCACATACAAGCGATTACATACAAAATCACGCATGTGATTCGCGGCGCCTATAGTTCGCGTATATAGCAAAGAGCACTATTATTAGCGCAATAAGTTAACCGTCTCTCTGTCGTCAAACTGGCATGTTTCCGTCGTGACAATCATTCCCCCCGGATGAGCGTCATCGTCATTATCATCATCGTTAGCGGATAACTGAATATCGGATCCATCCGCGATCATTACGCAAACACTCGCGATCAATCGGAACGAGAGAGAGCGCGAAGGAAACGCGGGACAAACGCTTTAAACGCGTTTAAAATCATAGTCAGTGACTGAGACATAGACCCGACGTCGTACTTCCTATCTTTAGGCGCCGTCGCGTCTTCGACAAAGTTCGCGGATATAGAAAAATTACCCTGAAAAACATCGAATTGATTGAATTTGAATGTTTAACGGAATGATAAACGAATTGACAAACGGAAATACTGACGCGTGAGAAAAGAATGTAGTAGAAGTTGAGAAAAGTACATCTTTGTAGTTGCAAAGTTTAATTAAGTTAGGGAAAAAACAAGAAACTACGACAAATGGAGAACATGCAGAACATGGAGAATTTGCAGATAATACGTAATTGGAAATTTTACAACGAAATGACACGAATCAGTTTTCAGAAAACAATTTTTACAAACAGCTATCCTCATTAACCAGGTATAAGTTCATGGCGTTTTGTTCTTCTATAAAATATTAGTAATTTAAGAATTAATTAATCACAACGATACAAATATGTTAAAAATTAATTTATAAAAAATTAATTTAAAATTCAGCGGAAACAAAGATTTGTTATCCGTGAGATTGGAATTATGACATTTGCATTCTACTACCACAACTACAATAGAATTTCGAAAATAAACACAAAGTACTCCTCATAAGATTGACTTGAGTCTGAATAACTTTTTAATTTTTTTATAAAGAAACGTTATACCGTACATTTATACCGTGTTTTACTAGTTAACATGGACATTCTAAGTTATATTTTTGTTAGTATTGAACATATCGATCAATATAAATAAAAAAAAAAATATTTTTTCTATCGTAGAAACTGTCAGAAGTATGTAGAGACGATCCGCAAGATTCAATAAATTAAAATGCGAGATGAAAGTAACATGGAAGTATCGATTTAAAATATCTTTACTAGAAACAATGATAAAGAAAAAAATTACCATAGCATTGTAAGAGACACTACGCGCTACAAAAATCTAGAAAAAAAAAAAAATAGGGAAATCGCGGGATTCCCTTCATTTTTGCGTTTCATTCGTATTTGGACTCATCGGCGCGTAAGTTCACGTTTATCGTTTCACGAAAGCTTCCCGTTTATCGACGGTCGTCTCTCTCTCTCCCTCGAACCGCTTAAGCTTAGTCTCAGTTTACGCTCAGACGCGCCCACTGCTGTTCGTTTCTCACGCGCGCGATTTTGCACGTCGGCTCGTTAACGCGTATATACACGCGTATACCGCTCAAATCTCAAATCTCGCTCATACTGCTTCCGCGGTATGAGCTCCGCTAACACACACGTTTACTCGCATCGATGAGTACGCGCTCAAAAACGATGAAACTCGGACGGAAGCAGACTCGTATCTTGCGATTATGTTTCAACAATCGTCTCTCTTTAATTCGAAATTTTCGATCCCACCGCCGTGTCGATCTGTCAAAATTGAAAAAGCACACATCACTCTCTCCGCATTTGCGTATCTAATTGCGGATTAAAACCGCGCCGATGCCTCCTGACGATTTTTAGATGGTGTTTCGTAACGCTATCTCCGTGTCACCGTGGTACGTCCGACGCGACTACGAATACTATTACTTTCGATGCGGCAGCGAGTAACTTCCGTTTACGCGAGGGCTAGCGAGGAGAGAGAGAGAGAGAGAGAGAGAGAGAGAGAGAGAGAGAGAGAGAGACGACG